GTTATTGTTTACACATTTTGTTCATGCACACAACACTTCATAGCCAGAGTCCCGCAGTAGAACAGTTACGTTACAAAATGAAACACGGAGATGTAGAGATTGTTAATCTGGTGCAGAGCGCCACGGGAAATAATGCAGAAAAACCCTTCAAAAATAACTCGAAGCCACTGGTACTTTTCTTTTTCTCGCTCTCTGTGCTGGCTGTGCTACACACAGACCTGTTGCCATAGCAACAATGCCACAACTGTATCAGGATTCAACACCAAAAAGCATGCAAGCATTTTCCACACAAACAACAGAACATTCAGTCGGTTACAGTTTCGTGTTTTCAGGCTTGATGTTTATTTTGTGATTATTAATAATTTATCAATGTGGTTGATTAGCTACTGTTGCTAGTAGCTGAGCTAGCACAGCAGTAGTTGATTAGTTGCTCTACAGGTGATCTGTCAGAGTTGGTGTGCAGGTTGCCTTTGTTTTCTTTTTTAACTGAACCAAGACACTGAAGTCCACATCACATCTACATGCTCAGGTTGTCATAGTCAAGCTAGCATAACTGACCTGCTTCCCTCTCCTTCACTATTTTTTATTTAATTAAAACATTTTACTCACCTTGTTGTATCGTTGAAAATTAGTAGCAAACACTGTCTGTGCTGACTCCATCATCATGTTTAGTTTAGTTTTCCGATGGTAAATTGTAAGTTAAACTATAGAGCCTTACTGACACCTAGTGGCCACTGTTTACGCATTTAATTTGGTCAATCAAGAAGAACTTGTCCAGCTGCACATGGTGTCATGGACTGTCCTTCAGACATGTTTGGTCTTTGGACACTATTTGTCTGTAAGTTCATTTTATTAATTGTCATTTCGGAATTTTGTTGTATTTTATAAGAAATGTTTTACGTTTCCCAACCAAAATTTAACGCTACATCGCTTGCTAATTGGGAGCCATCTGTTTGCTATAGTCTAGTCTAGTTGTTTTCTGTATTTTGTCTGTGGTTGATGTACTTTTGTGCTTTGTTACAGTTTTACAATATAAGGAAAAAACCAACAAGAGTTGCAAAATAAAACAACAAAACTATCAAGGACTGGATTATTTTCAACTCAAGTGTTAGCTAGCTGCCTAGCTTTGTAAGTGCAACACATTGTGAGGGCAGCATAGTGTCTCTTTTTCACACATTAAAATTTAGCGTGTTGACAACTGGACAGCTAAAAGCAGTGCTAGTCATTGTCAGCTAGCAGTTTTATCTTAGCAGGAAACTGCAGGAGGCCAGATCTTCCATGCACAACATTACGCTGCAACTAAAAACTATGACACGTCCACTGAAATCCTAATTTCAACTCCGCTCCTAGCTAAGCTGAAGCTACAGCATCTTGAAACAGTTTTACACTAAAATGGATGTGTTTGAGTCACCTGGTAATCAGGAGGTTTGAGTTTGAATCCGGACAGAGAGCCACACAACGCTCAGGCTGTGAGTGAATATGACGGTGAACTGTACTGTAAAACCCAAACCGTTGTTTGCTAAAGGAAAAATTTCTACTTAGAAAAAGTTATTAAGTTTAACCAAATAACTCCAGAAAATGATGAACCTGCTTGTGTCTTTGCATTTTAGGGCTGTTTGCTTAGTGAATCAGGTGCTGAGCAAGAACAGCAGAAATAGAAAAATCTGGCCTTGACCTCCAGGTAGTTTCTGAAACATTCACTGTAAAACTAAAACTAAAAGGTCCAATAATGAAGGACATATTTCTGCATCTCTTGGGACAAATCTGATAGCATCAGATGTTTTTGAATTATTGATTGGACACATCTAAAGTTGCACATTAAAACACAGGTTTCCAACTGCGGCCACTGCCCTGCAGCTTTTAGATGTGCCTCTGCTGCACCACCTGAATAGAATAATTAGGTCATTAGCAGGACTCTACACAAGAAGGAGGTAATTAAGCCATTTCATTCCAGGGTTTTGTACCTGTGGCACATCTAAAGGACTGGAGTTTGACACCCCTGCATTAAAATGTTTAAAAAATGTTCAACAAAAATGCAGTTTGGCTTGATTTGATATTCTGAACGCAGCTCACAGTAAGCTGCAGGAATGGAGAGAAGCAGGATCAGATTTTTAGCATCAGAATTGGTTTATCTTGGCTTATGCTTTGCTAAAGAGTTTCATATGAAGGGGAGACGATGCCAGCGGTTGATTACAGAGAAATACCAGAGAAGGTGGAAGCAGAGCGCTGGGTTTGGACTTCCTGCTGGACTGAAGTCATCAACAACTTGTCATCACCTGAAACCACTTCTGGTTCTGTTCAAAAACCCAAATGTAATCCTGACCCTGTAAACCTTGAAGCAGAGCATCTGCCTGAAGGATTCATTTCATCATTTTATCCATTTCATACATGAAACTTCTGCTTTATTCATAAAGGAAAAACTTTGTGCTCAATTATGTGATCTTCAGCAAACAGGAAGGAGAAAAGGTTCGTAAACTAGAAGCTGAAAACGGGTCCAAAATCACCCAAACAATTGATCTAACAGAACTCAGAGAACCGGGTCCAAAACCAGATGAAATCTATCCATAATCAGAGTTTTTGTTTTTTTCATTATAGTTAAGTTTTATTTTGTTGTGACTTTTGTTGGTCCAATGCAGTCAGACTGACTGCCTGGATTTTATTAGTCCTCATTAGTTTAGTTTTTAATAGTGATAGTATAGTTTTTGTTTTTTCATGTGTAATTTTTA